CAATGCTTATGTATCATCTTACTCTGTCAATGATTTAGAAGTGGACTTTAAATGATATTGAAGACCTACAACTTATTTCCATAGCTTCTAGCTGCATTACATCATGTACATAGTTCTAGTCTTTCTCGCCAAAATGCTGGTCTCAAGAGGAGGTATCCAAGATAGTCAAATCTTGTCATAAGCACAAGGTTCGAGCTTCTATTATGTTCAAAATTTCTAATTTAGTTCTTTAGTACTAAGACTAATTGTTTTTCCTTAAGACTGTAGTGATTCTTATGACCTTAAAAATGATTGTGAAAGAGGAGCATATTTTGATAATTATTGTTGGAGGAAGTTATAACTCGTCAATTTAATCCAAATTGGTTCGGTAACTTTAGGCAAATGTTTCCTCATTTGATTTTTATTTCTCTAAATTACTAATTTGTTGTTATCAGGTCCATATTATTTCATTTGGCGGAGCTACATCACTTGAGGGCCACACGTTATTCCCTAATGGTGGTGTTTGTATTGACATGTCACATATGAAAGTATGAGTACTACTATCAATTGTTTATATTAATGTCTCACTCTTATATTTACAAGAGGACCTTCATTTCCTTTCAACTTCAGAGTAAATCATATTTCTAGCTCGACACGATCTTCGTTCGTTTGTTAATGAGGAACAGTATAATGTCAATCATGCTTTTCGTCATGTGGATAAAAAAAATTAATTCTTGGTAGGTAAGAAGTAGAGAACTGAAGTACTACAACTCACTAAATGCACAGTTACCCAAAATGATGATATAAATATTAATCAAACACTGCTCTCTATAAATATTAATCAAACACTGCTCATCTCCGCACAAGTGCGGAGTTCAACTTCGCACTTTTCCAACTCCACACTATGCGGAATTGCTGCGGAGTTACTCCGCACTTAGATGCGGAGTTCAACTCCACATTATGCGGAGCTCAGCTCCGTACAAGTGCGGAGCAACTCCGCATAGTGCAGAGTTGGAACTCCGCACTATGCGGAGCTCATCTCCGCACAAGTGCGGAGTTGCTCCGCACTTAGATGCCGAGTTCAACTCCTCACTGTGTGGAGCTCATCTCCGCACTGTGCGGAATAGTGCACTCCTCACACACAATGCAGAGATCACTCTGCGCAGAGTGACCAGACCTTTTTGTTTTTTTTAAATTAAGTTTCTTGCTTCATTCCATACATAAATAAAATCAAAATTTCTTCCGTATCTCCGCACCAGCGCTTTTTTTTTTATTTCTTATTTTTTTGGCTAATAATTCTACTTATTTACATTTCACACAAACTCTAAATACAATATGACTCATTAATAATTTAATTCAAAAACATTAGAAAATATTCAATTCCATATATACATGAAAATCAAAATTCCTTTCGGGGGCGTTGCCGCCGAGCCCCCACAAGGGGCGCTGCCCCCTCGACCCCCGCGACCTAACCAGCCAGGTCGAGCCTCGTCGGGGGCAACCCCCACGTTTCCTAATCTATCATCCGTTTGTTCTTGTTCATTTTTTACTGAATTTGTGTTGTTCATTTAATTTGTGTGTTTCATTTCATTAGTTTTATCTTGAAGTAAGCTAACACACTTCAAATGGATCAAATAACATAAGAATTAGAATGAATTAGCATCCATTATCATGCCTGAAGGTACTGATCTCTATAAATGACGTTTGAACACAATGTACAAAACAAATTTACCAAGTCATACTTCATATGCTTCAAACCATATCCAAAAGTATAATTTAATTTTAATAAAGCAGTGAGAATAGACACAGAAGTAGATAACCGGGTTAAAGGTTTTGAGGTCTACAATTTTATAGGAAATAACACACGGAATCCGTTAAAATTTAGCTAGAGAGAAATTATGATCCCTGAAAATTCTTTCGCAATATTTTTTTGTTATATTCTTCTCTACGGGTTTCGAGTATCAGCATTTGCTCCTGTGCTATTAAAATAGTGTACACCACAAAACTAAATCATAACAGATTTCCAACAACCTGAAAAATAAGATCTTTCAGGAGATGTTTATAGCTTTCAGAAAAAGAAGAAGGTCGTGATTCAAGATCCTGCAGAAGAAGAGATTGTTCATAATCTCCTTGAGAAAACTGAGAACCTGTCTGGTAAATATATTCAGCGATCTATTGTTCATGTAAATTAATTCAGCAATCTAATGTTCATTATTTCCTGTACATTGGTTCCTTTCCACTTTTTTATTGGGTTACAATTGTGCTATGATGCTGTGTATATTTACTGAATTTTGCAGTTTTTGATGGTCTTGAAACTTCATTTGCTGGTCTAAAAAAAAATAAGAAACTGGTCTTGAATTTTGTTTTTGTTTTTATTTTTCTGTCATTTTCTTATGTTTTTTGGTTCCTTTTCAGTTTACTTTTCGATTCTCAACTTCTTTTAAACATATAGAACCTCAAACTACTTATTTTTTATCTATTTATTTCGATTGATTGGGAAATTTTTGACAGTCGACCAGAAGAAGACCGTAAGCCCAGTTACCCAGAGCTATGGCAAGCTTTCGAACCCCTCCCCCCCTCCCCAATTGCTGTTCTCTCATTTCAGTGCTAGACACTTATCACGATTTAGACACCTCATTGTTTAATAGAGAAAGCAAAAGTTGAAACTTCTGCATCTTTGTAAAATGAAATTCTGCTACACATTTATTAGGTTTTTAATGAAGGACATTAGAAATCAAAACACGAAAAATGTCATTTTTCAAAAACTCAATAATAGTTGCCAATGTTAGTACCATAGGTAAAACAGATCAGTGTTTCTTGCTCATACTTTTTTTCTCTCTACTATAAAGAGAGAATGACCCTTATACTATTCATTTTTGGTACCCTGCTTTCACACTCAAACAGGTTTGGAAGTATTGTGCCTCTTCTCATGCCTTCATTTGTGCTTTTTTGCATTGAAAGTGTTTATTCATTGTTGAAGAACAAGGACTCCATTGCTGTGCACTATTCACTATAGGTAACTTTTTCACCTATGATTTGAGTCATGAGAAGTATTAATGTGAAATTTCATGTTTATTTTATTCAACAAGAGTTTTTGTTCTGGAACAGTTATGATGAAGTTATCTGAAGAATAATATGTGAAAAAGTAAAAAAATACTTACTTATTGTACCAAAATAATTTAAGCTAATGTTTTCGTCACTATTGAAAATAGAACTTCTTTGCAATAGTAGTAGAACTTCATGGAAAGCGATGGTAAATTTCATTAATGTATTGCATTTCATCTAATTCATATGATCTCTTTAGATTCAGGAAATTGAAGTAATCAATTTTGTTTATGAGAGGTCCATACGAATTCTGTTTATGGGATGCCTCGTGATCCAGATGATATCATGGTAAAGTGTGAAGGGTGCAAGAACTGGTATGTACATATAATTTATATGCTACAAATGCATTACAAATGGAAAATGACATATCATATACTTGTTTGTTAGATAATTGTTATTTTCTTCATCAATTCTTATAATTAATGTTCTTTATGCATAGAAAGATGAAGGTTTTTTGTCCCTTAAAAATGTTTTCACTTAGAAATGAAATCACAATGGCGTAATAGCCTTCTCAAGCGGAGATGATCCAATAGTTTATTGCATTATAAGTTTAACGAATTACAAAAAAACAGAAGAATGATATATTATATGAATTAATTTAGGATTTCATACATGCTCTTGTTTATTCCTCATTTTCTTCATCAGATGATTGATCATTCATGATGTTCCATTTTTTTTTTTAATAAATCGTAATCTTTGTGCATTGGTTTTCATTTGTTTACTTAAACGATCTCTTTTTTGCATTTCAGTGGATATTCATAGCTACGAGATCTACACTATAACAAAGGGCTTGCCTTTACTAAGAAAGAGAGAGATGCCCATTTCCTCTGTGTTGTACTTCTCCCAAACGTCGTTAGTCAAGAAATTCAGGTTAACATACTAAATTCTGTATATTGGAACCTCCAATTTTTTTTCCTTGCGTAAATCATAATTCTGAATGTGTCATTCTATTTAATAGGTTAAGAAAATGATGTACAATATGTGTGAGTACCAAGTACCATTGTATATACCCGTCATTTGTTTTTGGAAATTACAACCTTGAAGAAATTTTAGAATTTGTAATCTAAGTCTCTATGAAATGTAGGAACTACTGCATATTTTGTATTTAGATTACTTTATTGTCTTGAATCTATTCCAAATTGTAGAAGATTACGACTATCAAATACAAAATACATAAAATATAAAACGCTAACATCACCTTCAAAATAACACACCCCGTACAATGAACGGGTTAAAACTAGTGTTAAGAAATAATGAACCTCCAAGGTATTAGATGAAGAATTGCATTTAAGAATCGAAAATGGTGAATGTATTTACACACATTTTCACCAAAGTTTATTGAAAGATTAACATGATGCAAAGGAAAAAGTCCACGAGGAAAGAAAGACATTTATCTGTACAAGGGTAATCCAATCATCGCCCAACATATAGTCCACACTACGAACTAAGCTAAGATAATTGTGAGGGAGATGCTGAAACCTTGCAGATGGGACACCAATTCTTCAGCCGCAACCATTGTTCGATGCATGCCACATGATATCCGTGCTGGCATCCCAACTTACCTATTTCATCCCCAAATAAATAATCCTCCTGCAAAACATCAATTTGTTATGTCGTCTTCTATACAAAAAATGGATGGAAATTAAGGCGTACTGAGCTCAACAACAGGTTGTCCAAGTGTGTTTAATTCCTAAGGAAGCTTGGAGTTGGTAAAAACGAGTTTTTATTCTACTTATTAGCTTATGAAGTGGTCTTGATTAACATATCCCAGGGCCCAAACTGGGTTCAACATTAATTCGTTTATCTAATGAATTAATCTTAAATATATGCTTTGACAAGCCATTCTCAGCAAAATGTCAGGTTGTTCTGTTTGTGTACATACCAACATATTAGAAGCGAGCTTGAATGGATCTGCATCTTGGCTCCAGATCTTGTCCCCGTGATATTATATACAAAATTGACCACAACACTCCAAAATATGTTGCTCTTACATTATATGCATAAAATTCAATTCCAATCCAGACACCATTAGACACACTATAGAGATATGACAAGAACAATACCAAAATTTAATCAGCTCAATGGAATTCAAGGTTCAATTGGCGTAATTATTATTATTATTTTTGACAATTTGGAGATCCTTTAGGAAAAGAAGCTTTGACATGATCTACAGCTCACTTTGCAAACAAATTAACTTGTCTTAATAAGATCCGTGAGTTTATGTTCTATAAGCTAGCTAAACCTCGAGAAAAATGCGAGGACAAACCTAAATGCAACTCAACAGGGCTTGACCATGGTGCAGTTGGATGGAATGCTGGAAACCAAGTTAACTAACAGAAGTTGCTCTCTTTTCAGTAGAAAGATAATTTAATGTTTAAAGGATTTCAAGGTTTTTTGTCTCATATTAAGCATGTGATTCTGAAATCTGAAATACTTCATGAGTGCTGTAAAAGAATACTTGATACAATTTTGTTTTGAGGATTTGATTTATGATAGAAATTTTTGAGAAAAGGAAATTGTATTATCAAAACTCAACTTCTATGATGAAATACTACAAATGAGCAACATTTTTATACTATATTTGGTACATAAGAATTAATTGTTAACATGAATTCAAACTCTCATTAAAATTCAAAGATACATGAATAGAAATAAATTCATCTATAATACCTCAAGATTCATGTAGATCAAGATTCATCAAGTCAAAATTTATTGAGTATAGATTAATGTGAATGTTAATTAATTGAAAATTAATATCACAAAATTCATACATGACAGAGATTTTGTACTATTTATTTCATATTGAAAAACGAAAAGTAAAGTATTATTTAAATAATTGAATTGTAGTAAGGTTAAAATCGTCCAAAAAATGACTCTCACTTAATGTGATATTTAATATAATATTATTATTATAGATGTATGTAGAACTTTCTGCATAATCTTTTCCTTTTTTTCTTTACTATTAATTTGGAGTCAATGAGTTGGCAGGGGTTGACGCTAGACAGGGATCAGAAAATCAAACAAAAGATAATGATCAGTGTAAAATTCCGAAGACAAAGTAAAAGGACCTGACAAATACTGCACTTGGTGTCATTGTCATCGCCCAAAGATCCCGTGTCCCATACTTCAGAAGGGACTGCCTGATAGCAGCTTTTCCTTAGGCATTTTGACAATTCCTCTTCGGAGAGTGCTGTGCTTACAGTACCTATTCTCTCCTCCAAAGCTAATAATTCCTGTTAAAAAGATACCATAAAACATCAAGGGTTATGAAATCCTTATCAAAATCCAACATCAACTTAAGACCCAATTACAATAAATTATAATCCATAGTTTAAAAGGATTTAGATCAGAATCAATTACTCTTTGCAGATTGCACGATGCTAACTATTTGATTATCAACTCATCAAAAACGAACCTCATAGGACATGTTATCAATGTCCAGTCTCATGTCTCTATGTTGATCATAATGATGGCTGAGCCCACTGAGGAATAAACTAGTCTCCAAGGCAGAAACATGCTGCAGACAGAGATAATAAAAAATAATGAATTCCAATGGGCATAAGCTGCAAGTAAATAAAGATTGACTACCTCACTAATCAGCTCTTCATCTTGTTCAAGTCTTCCAATTGCTAATAATACCTGTCCAGTGAGAAAATACATCACGATCTAGTAGGAAAATCTAATCAAACATGGTGGCATAGTGGCATCATTAATTCCCATTCCCCATACAAGGGAAAAAATTCATGGGAATATTATGTACTAGAGGAGCAATACCTCAGCAATTCTATCAAATGCCATGTGATCCATTAAATTGGTAGTGCCCAATTCTGCAGGCATTACACTGGATAGATTATTGCTATTGCTACTAGAAAGACCATTCGAACTTGAACCAATTGAAGAAACATTTGCAGAGACGTGTTGAGAGGAATTATGACCGCCAGCATCAACAGGTAGCTCAGGCCGACGTAACTGAGAAATCCTGAACATTGGTTCTCTTAGTGAGGAAACGTTTCCATTACGTTGATTAGAATGCCTTGGTGTTGTATTCATATCTGTTAACCTCCGAGTGCGGACAGATGCAACACCATTGCCATCCTCTCTACGAGCCCAACTTCTGCTTTGTCTCGGATTAGATATGGAGACACCACTAGGTGACGGGGGGGCACTTCCGTCTATGGACGAGGCTGCAGTTGTTTGCTTCACTCCATGAGATGAACGGCTTTTCTCTCCTGGATTTCTTTTTTTCACTACATCCTTCATATTAAGTTTGGAATCTGAGGTCGAACAACTTCGTGGAACGACATCCGAAATTGAATTACACTTTAGACTTCTCAAACCATACCTGCTCCTACTACCACAGTTCCTCGCTCTAAGGTCTGAGCTTTCAGAAACAGGTGGAACAGAATATAGCTGATTGTTTTCGCTGCATGACCCAGAATTAAGATTATATATTTTTCTTGGACTAGTAGTTGATGTTGCTCTAGAGCTCCCTGAATCTACTGCACCCTTTCGAGTCTTGGTATCTCTAGAGTCCGAGTGATGTGCTCTTTGAATTCTACTTTCTAATGGATCAATATCTAGTTGAGAAGAGAACTTTCTCTTAGAATCGGGACCTGAATTTTTTCCATTGGTCACAACAGGAAATGACCTAGAGGGATTGCCAATTATTTTCTTGTGCGTTGAAGAATGAACTAAAGGCCTTGAACATTTAGCTTTAACAGAGCTTCCTCTTTTGGTATTCTGAGTGTACTTAATTCTGCCACTGCATCCCAGTCGACTGCAGAATTGAGCGCTCTGATCTGTATTCTTAGAAATATCTTCTAAAGCAATGCCAGATCCCTTTTTGGGGACAACAACCCCACGAGCAGCTCTTTTACCAGAATATCCGTCCATGAAATGTTGTATTGATCCTTTATTCCTGATAATTACATATTGTAAGCACCAAACCCATATTTCTTAAGCAGAAAAACACAATCTATCTACAAGATGGATTTTCTTCCTTTATTTATTGAAACAGCAAAAAGAACTGCACAAATGAAGTAGCTGAACAACCTACGGTTAACGAAATATGCATGACATGCATAAAAAGGTGAGAAGTATATTTCATAGATATCAGCAATAACATAAATTGAACCAAAACCAATAATAGACTTCAAACACGCAAGTGAATTGAGACGGAGGATATTGAGAAATTTTGTATGCAAAACAACTTATCAATTTGAGAGTTTTTTCAGAGGACAAATTTAATATGAAGTTATTATCGTCACTTCTTTTTATAAAATACACAAATATGGAGAAGCTATCGTAATATGAGAGCATCTAATGCCATCAACCTAACAAATAGATGCAATGAAGCTCAAACCTGGAAAGGAAAGTGAATCCCTAAGATATATGAAATGAATGCTATTCATTATTGCTTAAAAATCTTATGCAAGGGAGAGACTGATGGTCTCAAAACTGATTACATGCAACCGATGCAAGTAAAATTCACTAGTAACATGGACAAACTATAAGCAAATACGGAGGGATATAAGGTGTAGAAGCACCACTAACAAGGAAGGTTCAAAGAACTGGAAGCCATGTCGAAAATTCATCCTCTCTCTAAGACCACAATATACGTGGTAAATGATAGTGTCAATTACCTCTATCCTTCAAATTAAACTACAATATGACCACTAGTTCACAGATATAACCTAAATGAATGATCATATAACCACAAATAACCACGCCAGAAATATGAAGAATAAAAAAAGAAAAAAGAAGAAGAAACTTATATGATCAAACTTCAAATAGGGGTGGATTTGTTTTCCTTTGATTAAGGAAAAAGATAATTTTACTTTGTTCGATTGCTTAACACTTTCTATTCCTAAAGAACAGATTTAACAATCAAGCCACCGCCTAGTTCAAGCAAAGATTACACTTTACTCTCTTCAACAAGAATCAAACACACATGTATTGTATTAAACTAAAGGAAAATTCATATACAATATGAAAATCATAGAACATTTAAAATATAGTTTTTGGGTGAAAAAATTATCAGGGTTCAACAAATAAGAAAAAAAACAATGAATTGCAAAACAAAACTAGAAGCCCATATATAGAATCGAAGAATATTGAATTAAATATTGAGAAATTAAAGAAGTTAAGACCAGTATTCATATATCAATCAAAATTCAAGAAGGCTACAACAAAAAGAACAAAACAGAAAACCCAACTTTTTATCTGAAAAAAAAAGGTCGAAAAGATAGACCAACTTTTTGTTAATTTCATTTACCTAACGAAAAGAAAAGAAACTGAAGAAAGCTCCAATTAGTGCATGCGTGGATTGGATAAGAGGTTTGGCCAGATAGAGAAGAAGAGAGACGTGTTGCAACAAAGTTGTATATAATGTAAAGAGATCCGAGGGTAATGGGAAACAACAGAGTTTTAGGCAGAAAAGAAGAATACATCAAACCATAGACTGATAAAGAAATCCGCAACAAACTGCTGCTGAATTGCCGTCTTGCCGATGTGCGGTTCGTGGGATTTTCTTGGTTTGTACGGTCAACTATCTACGGCTTTTTGGTGGCCCAAATGTCATCGTTACGGACCCATAGCAAAATTTTCATACTTCGCATTAGCTGCCATTCGTGCAGTGACAACTTTAATTGTTAAGCGCAATTTATAGGAAAGAGAGATGATAATTTTTAGAATTAAAGGTGAAAAAGAAGCTGCTGTTTTGTAGTCCATTGTAATCCGTGTGTGTTTGAGCCTCACTATTTTGAAAGAATGTATTTTCAAATAATAGATTAATAGAGAATGTGTGGTTGAAAAAGAAGGAAAAATTATTGATATGATGTAAAATATTATTTTATTGAAGAACGTGTGGTTGAAAATGAATAGAAGAGAGAGAATGAAAATTTTAATGTAGCTCAAACAGGGCTTCAATCTCATCTCGTTTAATTTTGTGTTGTGGACACTCTCCATTAGAGCTTGTACAATAAACATCGTATGGGTCCAAGAAAGTCCATTGTGAGGGTCTAGTTAACGGGGATATTCAAACGAGAAATCTTAACAACTATTGAAAGGTAATTAAATTACTAGGAACAATAACTATCCAAACTAGCGCAAACCTTCTAATTTTGTGAGTGTTATAAAATTATGAGTAAAAAATACCGTGATTTGATTTACAACCTAGACACAATAAGAATATGGTGTTCTATTATTGAACTAGTAATGTATTGTACAAATTTAGGCCCTGTTTGGAGGACATTTTTGGGGAAATTAAAATCAATTTTCTGACCGTTTTTTGAAAGAATTTGGTCAACTGGGACCCACCTGTGGGAGTGTTTGTCAAAAAACTCGACTGCAAGTGGATGGGCAACGGTAAAAAAATTCGTGGAAATTTCCTTCAGACAGGCCCTTAATCGAATTATCTGATCGTAACTCAATTAAAACCACTTAAGATTGCTAAAAATGATTATGCTCCAATCAATTTAGATTAAAATGCTTTATTTACATGAATATGTCCCCCTTAGAAGGCCAATTGTACAAAATCCTCTTGTAGAGAATGCTTAAAGTGGGCATATATATTGCAAATAATACAATTATTTTGCTTACATCTTTTTGGATGGAACCAAGTGCCAAACCCCACCACTAACCTCATAAGGAAAAAGGTGGCAGCCTCCTAACACATTCATTCCTAAGCTTTTTTTTTTCTTGTCATTATCGTTATCATTTGTTTTTTGGTATATCAAAGAAAAAAAAAATTAATTGGATTGGAGTAGGTAATCTGAATTAGTTATGTGTGTAATAATGGACTAGTTGAATTGTTAGCTCAAATAATATAAACATTATTATTTCGTGTGTGAAGTCATGAAAGCAGTGACTAGTTTGAAAACTGATTAGTCATATACTTACATCACATACATCAGTTTTGCTATATTTACATTTTGATTTTCATTATATCCTATGACACATAATTCACTTAAAATAATCAATGATCTCCGTTTTGCCGCATATTGGATTGTCATCAAAGATTAATTCTACATAAAAACAGGTCTTTGTTCATTCTTGGATGACAATATAACAAATTGATTTTTTAAAATTATTTAATAGTTGTACTCACATTTCAGCAAGTCCAAATTCACACGTGACACACGGACTTGATTACATTAGATGGACCAAGACTAATCTTTTTAAATTAATCCATTTTCCGGCCATCCTTATTTGACCAAACTCATTCTTTGAGATCTCACTCTAAGCCTAACTACGTGAATGCCTCTTAAAAGAGAAATGAAGAATAAAAAATAAGCTTTGATTATAACTCTACTCATGTAATAAAATAAGTATGTAAGATCAATGGATCGAATAAAGATGAAAATGAGGCAAGATGATCCCACGAGGTTGTATCATTGACCTTCGTTATGTGTTTTCTACAACGTAAATTATCCCGCAAGTGTACGATGTCAAATTTTGTAATATATAAAGTATTGGATAAGTGTTTCAGTACTAGATACCTCATTTACACACTGAATACCAGATTTACAGTTTTAATACCGGATTGGAGCATATTGTATATGCAGTGAGTTTAAACACTGAATACCGTTTTTGCATATAACTTTGAATATAACATATGCAAATATATATAACAGATTTAATAATCAGATAGATTCAATAATTTATTAATTACAGTAAGACGCAACGAGTAATTTAAAGAGAACGGTAACATATCAATATGTAAAAATGAGTAACAAACAAGGAAAAAACGAATTAAACGATAAAACTTTTAACCCGAGACCTGTATTACATACAGTTTCCTTAAAATAGATATGCCCATTCACCGTCTGTGGTTGAGGTTTAAATTGAGCGTCCGTTTTCTAGGATACAACGGTAAAACTAGTAGATTCTGAGCACTACGGATATTATTTCGACGAACTGATTTAGTATCTGAACAATACCAGATCCAAGATTCAAATAGAAATTAAAAATGTATGCAAACAATTTTTTTTTTCCGTGTATGTATTTTTAGATGAATTCGTGTGTATATGAAAAGTGGAAAACAAGACATATATAGACTTGGCTCTTGAAAATGTAACTTGCCCATTCACTTAATGACAATTATCATAGGAGTTTCAACAGTTTCAGAAAATGAAAAATCAGTTGAATAAAACAAAAACGTAGTAAAACATGGACACTCCTAATGGGCTAATTTTGCTCCTTTCGATCCGACATTCGTGTACGCAGGCAAGTAAATACACGATTTCGATATACTCACGGAGGAGAATACAAATCAATCTTTATCTTTCAAAATAGCCAGACGGGTCACATTCAAAACTCATGCCAAAGTAAGCTATATACTCATTTTTTCCAACAATCCTCTACATGAATAAAAATTGTGAACGACACATGAATGTGACACATGACGACTTGATAAAGTTCAATAGTTGAAACCTGCATAGGATAGGTAGGTGTTACCCTTTGAACCTTCCCTTGTAAAAGCATATTTACTTTACTAGTTGACCAGTAGATGCGATGTCTTTGAACTGTTCTGCCGTTTATGTAAACGATGATATACTCCACACAGGATTCTTCCTAACACATTTCAATTCTNACATTTTAGTTCTCATAATTATGTTAGTTTTGGCCATGAACATACGCTTAGTTCTGTGAGAGTTATCAATAATTTTGCCCCATACAATTCCCTTAGAAGTGGTCCCACTTCTCTCTCACATAGGTGATTTCTTATTGCAAGTAACCCGCATTACTTGGCTTGAATTTCGATACATAAGAATGATTAAAAGACATTGCTTATCTTTCATCTTTACGGGTATCACTGTTGCATCATAGGAATGGGCAGGAGGTAACATCCCCCATAGTGATTCTATTAAGTCTTTTCAATTAGGCTGTCCATTTGAATCTAGATCTTGGGATCTCCAGTCAACTAGGTTCGGTTTCCTGTTTATTAACTTATCCATTCAAGGGCTTAAGTATCAATTTTTTCGATGATTTTTCAACTAACTCTCTATTTAACCCTTTGGTTAGCGGATTCGCAATCTTATCCTTTGACTTTACATAGTCAATAATGATAACTCCAAATGAGAGTAGTTACCTTATAGTATTGTGTCTACGACGTATATGTCTAAACTTACCATTGTACATGTTACCGTGTCCTTCCAATTACTGATTGACTATCACAATATATGCAAATTATTGGCACAGATTTTGACTATCTTAGAATATCCTCTAAGAAGTTGCGTAACCATTCTACTTCTTCACCACATTTATCTAGAGTTATAAACTCAGATTTTATGGTAGATTTGGCTATCATTGTTTGTTTAGAGGATTTCCAGGATATAGCTGCACCTGCCAATGCGAACACAAATCCACTCGTGGACTTTGAGTCTTTCATATCAGATATCCAATTAGTATCACTATATCTTTCAAT